GGTAGCGCTGCCTCAATGGCTGAAGGCGCCATTGCCCGCGGGGCTCCGATGCTGAATGCCGTTTGGGTCAGGTGCTCTATTCCACTCGGCAACCCGTTGAACACCAACGGGGACTGATGCTTCTGCCATTGCCAATGTCTGCTCCATTGCTTGTATTTGCTGTCGCATGCGTTGTTGGTATGCTTCGACCTTATCTGCTCTGGAATGTAGTTCATGGGTACGTTTATCGTACAATTCTAGGTGCGTCGCGTTCTGCTTGCTGGCTGCCGGGAATTCGCGCACCTGCTCGGTGATGGCCTGCGGCTGTTGAACAATAAGTGAGTTTGCCGTAGCCGTGAGTTGACCCGTCGCCTGTGCAATCTGAGCCTGGCCCATCGCCGCCAGTCTTTGTTCCAGGTCTGATAAATCAGCACGTGGAAGAGGGGAAACAGCATCTCGCGGGTAAGTAGGCCACCGATCGGTGTGGCACTCCAAGCAGTAGCCGCGCACTCATCAGGAAACGTAGGACATAATTCCAATTATCGAGCCACTTGTTGTCTAGCTTGTGGTGAGAGAAGAACATGTTCAGGTCCAGGAGGTATAGCTGGTCCCCCGCTTGCTCCAGCGTGCCGATGAGATGAGGATGCAGCCGCAGCTGCTTGCCATGGGTCTCACTCATTGAGCGCGTCCGTGCGTGATGCCGAAGGTCCAGATGTTCGGGTAGCAGCTCGACGTAGTTATTGTCTGTCATCCCGCCGTTCCCGATATCGCTCTCGCTCAGCACGATCGGCACGCTTGTCTTTATCTTTGCGATCTCGATGTCTTCTTTGTCTCTGTCTTCTGTTTGAGCCACTGCGGTCGCCTCCACTTCTGCTATTGGAGTGACTAGCGTCTTGTCTTCGACAATCATGGGGGCGAGACTAAGGTCTGCCAGATCCGTCTGATGAGTCGGGCATGCTGATGTCGGATGCTGCCATGGCTCCTTGGTGAATTTGACGCTTCGAAGCCTGCCTCCAGGAGTGCTGCCCAGCTCGGATCCAATGAGCTGTGACGACGTTGGGGTAGTTGGCCGAGTGTAGAGGAGCGGCGCCAATGAGAGATTCAGGATCTGCCGCAGCGCGATCAGGATGACCACAGCGCGGATGCCAGCTATGCAACACGCACTGCTGGATTTGGAAGATGGAACGCCCTTACGCAGGCGTGATATGAAAGAAGATGGACTAGCTTCTGGGGACAGTGGGAGCCTACCCCGCTGAGACACTGGAATGGACAACGTGTTGGCCTTGAGCCAAAATGGCTTGAGCCGAATGGCTACGGAAGGAAGAGGAGGAGGAGGAGGAGGAGGAGGAGGAGGAGGGAGGAGGAGGAGGAGGAGGAGGAGGAGGAGGAGGAGGAGCAGGAGGAGGAGGAGGAGGAGGAGGAGGACGGGTCGCCCAAGCCATTTGGAAAAACCTTCCACGCCCACCGCAGAGGCGCGCGGCTGCGACAGCAGAGCCTGCGCGCGAGCCCGCGGCCACGGAGGCGGAGGAACATCGGCTTCGGGCCTCTCGCGGAAGAAGAAGAAGAAGATGATGATGAAGAAAAAGAAAAACACATATACATTTTTTTGGCGTTCCGCGCGGATTCCTTGGACTCGCGCTCGTCCACCCTCCCCGGCGCGCGGAGCGCGCCAGGGGCGGCGCCGGAGGCGTCGCCGGGGGGCCCAGGCGCGCATCCGAGAAAGCAGCGCGGAGCGCCAAAAGTTTGTGTTCATGTGATGTTGTTCTTCTTCGGGCCTCTCGGGCGGGGGAGGCCCGGAGGGCAGCTCCGACGGCCGTCGCCTTGCCCGGCCCCGCGCCGGGGCGCGCCGCCTCCATCGAGTAGGCGGAGCGCTCGTGGTCCTGCCGGCGCTGCAATGCTGTCCTCCCCCTTTCCCTTACCGCCTCCCCCTCGTTTTTTTGTTGTTTCTCTCTCTATCTCTCTCCTGTCTCTCTCTCGCTCTCTCTCTCTCTTTGTTTTCTATCTCCCTCTCTCTATCTCCACCCACTCTCTCGCTCTCTCGCTGTCTCGTGCTCCCCCTCTTTACACAGATGTTGTTCTTATGTGTTTGGTGATGTTGTTTATATGTATGTATGTATATCTATATATATATATATATATATATATAACATTATCTCCTTCTCTATTGTGTTGTTTGGGTTATTCCTCTCTCTCTCTCTCCTTACCTCTCTCTTTCTCTCACAGCAGATACAAGCAGACGCGTACATAGTTGTCACTCGTACCCAATGTTTGCTTGTGTTATGTCATTCGTACCCCACACACATATAAATATATATATATATACATGTGTGTGTGTGTGTGTTTGTGTGTTTCCGTACGCCTCCTTCGCCTTTTCTGCCCCTCCCGTGGTCTCCTCTCCTCCTCACTCTCTAACTCCGTCGCCTTGCACCGCCTCTTCATGCCATCTCCCCTGCCATTTACTCTACCCTCTCTCCTCCCCCTCCGTTCCTCCCCCTTCCCCCCCTCCCCCTCAAGCATCTCCCTCCCCTCCTCTACATGCCATCCCGTCCTTTCCGATCGCGTTTCCCTTCCTGTCCTCTCCCACATTGGCCCCTCACGTCTCTTAGAACGAACCATGTCAGGTTAGGAAAAACAAGGGCAGCCTTCCCCACCTGGGGCAGGGTGGGTGGCTTGAAAGAGGAGGAGGACGAAGAAGGAGCAGCCTCGCCCACCTGAGAGGGAGGAGGACGTGCAGCCGTGTCTGCCTGAGAGGGAGGAGTCAGGAGGGACAAGCGGAGCAGAGAGAAGCGAGGGCGGCGAGGCCTTTGACCTGGACCCGCCCACAGCGTCAGCGCCGTCAGGAGGAGGACGGGCAGGGAGGAACAGCCTTGCCCACCCAGGAGGGCGGGAAGGAGCCTGCTCCTAACCACCATGTGGTGATGGATCCTCGTTTTGAAGAGACAGCGCTTCGCGTCACTCCCTCCTTCCTCCTCCCGCGCCTCCTTCCTCCCACCCTTGCCCCTGCCCTCCGCATGTCAATTGCGGCGCACCCCTCACACGCATCGTGGCCCCAAAGCGAGCACCATTTTTGAGGCCCCAGCGGTCCTCCTCGCACGCCTCCCCGCGCAGTTCGGAACACCCCTGACACGCTTCCTGTCCGTGTAGGAAGCTCCACCCACGGCCCCAGCGGCCGTGCTCGCATGCGGCGCCCTCCGCATGTCGATTCCGGCACACCCCTCACACGCGTCGTGGCCCCGTAGGGAGCTGCACCGAGGGCCCCAGTGGCAGGAATCGCACACGCCACCGCGCCCATGCCGGCGCACCCCTCACACGCTTCGTGGCCCCAGGAACGGAGAAGGCTCCACCAGCTGTGTGCGCAGTCGGCTCCCCCCGCCCATTTCGGCACGGACCCACGTGGAGCTAGACCTAAGGCCCCAGTGGCCGTCCTCGCATGCGGCTCCCCGCCTGTTTCGGAACACTCCTTCGCACGCTTCGTGGCCCCAAAGAGAGCTCCACCTACGGCCCAAAGGCCCCATCGGCCGCCCTCGCATGCGGCTCCCCGCACATGTCGGCACACACACACACACCAACACACACACACACAACACCAACACCAACACACACACACAACACCAACACCAACACCAACACCAACACCAACACCAACACCAACACCAACACCAACACCAACACCAACACCAGCACCAGCACCAACACCAACACCAACACCAACACCAACACCAACACCAACACCAACACCAACACCAACACCAACACCAACACACACACACACACCCCACACGCTTCGTGGCGCATAGACAGCTCCATTCAAATCCCCTGTGCCCGTCCTCGCATGCGGCTCCCCGCGCATGTCGTCGGCACACCCCTCGTACGCCTCGTGGCCCCGCAGGGAACCCCACCTGAGGCCTCCTCGCACGCGGCCCCCCGCAAAATACGGCACACCCCTATCACACGCGCCACGTGGCCCCACGGGGAGCTCCACGTGTGGCCCCAGTGGCCGTCCTCACGTGGGGCCCCTCGTCAATTTCGGCACATCCCTGACACGCTTCGTGTCCCCATGTGGGGGCTCCACCAGAGGCCCCAGTGGCCATGCTCCAAGAGGCATCCCAGACGGCCCGAGAGGGCCCAAAGACGGCTCCAAGAGGGGTCCCAGATGGGGAGCCCGAACGGACATTTCGAGCCCTCGGCCCCAGGAAGCACCCAGGAGTCCCCAAGAGGCCCCCAAGAGGCCACCAAGAAGTTCCAAGAGGCCCCAAAAAAAGGCCCCACCAAGAGGCTCCCAAGATGCCCCATAAGCTGCCCCCAAGAGGCCCCCGAGAGCGCACCGAAGAGACCCCAAGAAGTATCCCTTGCAACTCTAACCCTCAACCCAGGCACGTTGGCGGGATGGGCCGACAGCCATTCGACATTTCAGCTTGATTTCAATACGAGGCCATCGAAACTCAATAAGATTGGTACATACGCCAGATTCAAAGGATCTCGATATAAGGAAGATTGGGATTCGCTGAGCTTTCAATCAAGTGCTCCAAAACGTCAATCAGCAAGGCACCCTTTCGGAAAGGAGTCTTTAATGATACAAGCAACTATTTAAACATATGTATATATATATACACATACACACATATATATGTATATATATATGTGTATTTACACATAGATATTCCCCATGCACCGACGGGGGGCATAGCGACACTCCAACAATTGCCGCACACCACACACGCGCTTCGTGGCGCCACAGGGACCTCCACCGCAGGCCCCAGCGGCTGCAGTCGCATGCCTTCTCCACACCATGTCGGCGCATGCCTCATACGTTCTGCACGATTTCCCCCGAGGATGGATGGCACAGCTTCAAAGGAAGCCCTCGACCCCGTCCAGCAGGCTGGACGATGCCGAAGGCCGCCAGAAGTTCGAAATCCCCGCGCGCGGGCCGCTGCCGCGACGGTGTGCGGCCCACGCCCCCGTCCGCAGGGGGACGCGACGGGGGTCCCTGGGCCGCAACTCCAGGATTCGAGGCGGCGGCACTAGAGAGCGCCCGAGAGCGCGCGCCACCGAGCCTCAGCGGCTGCCGAGAGGCCAGTGCCACCGACGACGACGCGGTAGATGCGCACGCCCATCACGCGGAAGCACTGGCGGAAACGCGTGGAGCTCATGAAGGCGTGCACGCGGTCGACGTCCATGCCGTCGCTATCGATCTGGCGCACCACGTCCTCCATGCTGACGCTCTGCGCGCCTCCCTCGGGGCCCGAGGCCGTGAGCATCTTGTCGAAGAAGTCCTCGACGTCGACCTCCGACACCGCGCCGAGCTCAGCGAGGGGCTCCTCGCCACTGTCGACGCTCTCAGGCACGTGGGAGCCGTCGCCGTCGATCTCCGCCGCAGGCTGGAACGGCACAACCAGCCTCACGTCGACTACGACGGCCTCCGACTCGCCTGCCACGTCGACGACGGGCTCCACCGAGACGCCGCTCTCGGTCCCGTCACCGTCGCACTGGAACTTGACCATGTCCCCGCCCGCGAGCCGCCAGCCCGCCATCAACCCGAAGCCGAAGGCGGTGGCCTCCGACTGGAAGTCCCGAGGCCGCCAGTCACCAGGCGCATGGTCTCCGTCACCGCCCTCGCCAAAAACAGCATCGCCGTCTCCGCCACGGGCTGGCGCCGGCAGGGGGCCACCCTGGCCCGCGAAGGCCGGCAGCCGCGGGCCCGCCGCAGAAGCCTCCAGCTCCTCGTCGGTCGCCCGCGCGAACCCTCGCGGTGGGGGGTCGGCAGCATGCCAAGCCGCGTTGCGCCGCCTGCGCGGCCGTCCCGCGACCCGCAGACCCGCCGCAGCACTGCGCAGCGCCGGGCGCGCAGCCTGCTCGCGGTCTTGCCACGACCCAGGTGGCCACGGCCCCGCGCGGCACCCCGCAACCACCGCAGCCATGCGCCTGGCGCGGGCCGCGCGCCGCGCCGCCGTGGGGCCGAGAGCGGCGCTCTCGGCCTCCCTGAGTCCCGTGGGCCGCCATCGCTGAGGTGGCAGCCCTCCGTCGCAAACCTTCGCCGCCAGGCAATCCCCCTCCATGGCCACAGGACGCGGCGAAGGGGAGAAGGACAGAGCCGCTCTCGAGCGCAGAAGCAGCAGGGAGAGACAAGGCAAGCAGCCCGCCTGGCGCCCAAGGCAGGCTTGAGCCAAAATGGCTACGGACGATTTCCCCCGAGGAGGAGGAGGAGGGGAAGGAGGAGAGGGAGGAGGAGGAAGGGGAGGAGGAGGAAGGGGAGGAGGAGGAGGAGGAGGAGGAGGAGGAGGAGGAGGAGGAGGAGGAGGAGGAGGAGGAGGAAAGGGAGGAGGAGGAGGAGGAGGAGGAGGAGGAGGAGGACGGGTCGCCTAAGCTCTTCGGAGAAACCCTTCAGTTCCGTGGCTCCACGAGGAGCTCCACCGAAGACCTGAGCAGCTGCGTTCGCACACCTTCTCTGCACCACGCGGCACACTCATCACACGCCTCGTGGCCCCATATGGATCCTCCGCCGTTGGCCCCAGCGGCTGCGCTCGCGTGCGTTCTCCATTCAATTCCGGCGCACCTCTCGCACGCCTCGCGGCCCCAGAGGGAGCTGTGCCTGAGGCCCCTGTGGCCGCTGTCGCATGCCTTCTCAACACCATTTCGGCACACCCCTCACGCGCTTCGCGGCCCCACAGGGGACTCCATCGAAGGAATGGGCGACCGCGAACAAACATCGGCGCACGCCTCGAAGGTTTCGCGCTCCCAGAGGGAGCTCCACCGAAGGCCCCAGTGACAGCAATCGCATGCGTGACCGCGCCCATGTCGGCGCACCCCTCACACGCTTCGTGGCCCCATGGGGGGCCCCTATCAAAGGCCGCAGTCGCCGGCCTCGCATGCGTGACCTCGTCCATTTCGGCACACCCCTCACACGTTTCGCAGGTCAGACGTACTGGGCTACATCCAGATGTAACCCGTTACGGCCGACCTCCGCCACCCTACGTATCAGCAACGTCGCTCCGTCCTTGCCACGCACGCCTCAGTCCTTGTGCTAGCCCTTCCCTCAATTTCCACCTGTCCTGCGGTACTCGCAACTGCAAACGGTTCTGAAGCGTGAGAGGAATGTGCCGAAATCGGAGGGGAACCGCATTCGAGGACGGCCACTGGGACCTTAGGTGGAGCTCCCGGTGAGGCCACGAAACGTGTAAGGGGTGTACCGAAATGGGCGGGGAACCGCATGATAGGACGGCCATTGTGACTTCGGGTGAACTCACCATGGAGCCACGTCGTGTGTGAGGGGTGTGCCAACATGGGCGGGGAACCGCACGCGAGGACGGCCACTGGTCAGGCGGGAGGATTAAACCGCTGCCCCTCGAAAGGGCTATCCCTACCGCACACATCATGGACACACATCCGCGAGCGAGACGACACAGCAATCCCACTCAACAAATTGTCCGAAACTCTGCCGGTCGATGCAGGCAGGCCACACGGCACTGACAGCGAAAACCTGCGATAGCCCCGGACTCGGGTAAAGGGGGAAAGGAGAGAAAGAACACGCACACACAAACAAGCACGCTGGTATCAGCCGCGCGCCAGACTTACGCCAATCTGGCTCGAAAGAACCAGCCAGCAGAATCAGGGAGGAGGGGGAAAACACAGGGATCAGCCAGAAAACTTTAAAAGTCTCAAGGCCCTCGACGGCCACTGGGGTCTTAGGTGGAGCTCCCCCCTAATAGGCCACGAGACGTGTGAGGGGTGTTTTGACATGGGTGGGGAACCGTCTGCGAGGACGGCCTCTGGGCCTCAGGGGGAGCTCCCGCTGGGGCCACGAAACGTGTGGGGCGTGAACCGGAATGGACGTGCGGAGGGCAGAGGCAGGGATGGGAGGATGGAGGAGGAGGTGGAGGAGGAGGTGGAGGAGGAGGAGGAGGACAGGACGCGGAGCGTTGTCTCTTCAAAACGAGAACCCAACACTACAGGACGGTTGGGAGACATGTCTACAGCGTGGCCTGTAAAGGAAACGCTCCGGCAGCCCTCAGAGGGGGACCGAGACACTTACCTGGCTTCGAACGAGCCCCACCCGAAAACGCGAGGCCGGAACCCTTGGGGCCTAGCGGCGCGCCATGCAGTCGCCAGTCGTCGACGACGCGAGGCGGGATGGCCAGGAGCACAGGGATCCTTTCGGGTCGGGCGAAAGGGGGGGATAGCAAGGGGGGGTGTTTGAGAATCAGCTCACGTAAAATAGCTGATTTTCCCGGCGCCTCCAGGCGCCGGAGGCGGCCATGTATCGAGGAATGGCCCAGGCGGCGGGGCCGAAACCAGCTGCATGCAGCAGATTTCGTACTTCCCCCCCCCTTTCCCAATCCCCCCCTTTCGTCCGGCCCGACAGGAGCACAGGGATCCTTTGGGCCTGGCGGCCGCGGTATGTACGGTGTGCGAGGCGTGTCGGGACCTCTTGTCCTCCGAACCTCACCACTGCAGCGTGCCCGGCGTGGCATGGCAGGTAACGGGAGCACGCCAAGCCCGACACCTGGACGCCGTACCGTGGCCTTCGATCCCCCTCCTCCTCCTCCTCCTCCTCCTCCTCCTCCTCCTCCTCCTCCTCCTCCTCCTCCTCCTCCTCCTCCCCTTCCTCCACCTCCTCCTCCTCCTCCTCCTCCTCCTCTTCCTCCTCCTCCTCCTCCTCCTCCTCCTCCACCGCATCCTCTTCCTCCTTCTTCGAAGCATGGCCCCCTGGACCGCGGTCCAGGATGAGGTCGATGTGGCCGTTGGCGCTCACGAAGTTGCCGAGCGCGAGGCTGGCAGTGCCCTCCACCCCCTCGGCGCGGCGCGGCAGCAGGGCGCGGACGGGGCGTGGAGTGCGGCCGCAGGCGGGGAGGGGGGGAGGGAGGGAGAGGGGAGGGGAGGCAAGCTGGGCGCCATCGCGACCACACCCCTCCCGCCCGGCCCTTCCCACTGCGCGACGTTGCAGTGAGAGGAGGTCGAGGAGGAGGAGTGGGAGGTGGCGGATGAGCAGGGGGATGAGCATGAAGGTGAGGCAGGTGAGGAAAGATGTGGAGGAGGAGGAGGAGGAGGAGGACGAGGAGGAGGAGGAGGAGGAGGAGGAGGAGGAAGAGGAGGACTAGCCAAAACAGCAGGAGCGAGAATGGGGGGACTAGCCAAAACAGCACGAGCAATAACAGGAGGAGCGGAAGCAGCTGGATGACCAGTATGATGCAGGAGGAATGAGAGGGGGGCGACAACGACGAAGACTGGCCCCGATAGAGTCGGAGCCAGGCCGGGGCGAGAGCGCGATTCTGAACGACGTGAGCAGAGCGCCGATCTTGAAACGAGGCCAAAGCGTCAGTGGGAACATAATTTTGCAAATGATTGGAACACCGCCATGCCAACGACAATATCTTGAGGTGCTGCGCGGGAAACATACGTGTGGAGCCCCAAGTCTGGATAGCAATCCAAAGCGAAAACAACCTCTGTGGGAGACGCTTGCCAAGTCGCTGGGAAGCAAGCGTCGAAGGAGTTCCGAGGAAGCTGCGACGGACCTGCGGAAAGGCTTCAGACAAGCGTATTGGGAACGAGTAAGAGAACGCTTCCCAGAACACGCTGCAAGTTCAAGCAAGCCACTGGGGCGCTGCCTGACCGGGAGCTCTGGAGAGGAGCTGGCGTGGCCCTGCCTGCCGGCTTCTCATCTGGAACCATCTCAGCTCTCGGAGAACGATCGGGGAACCATATGCGAAAGAGAAGCTGCCCCGCTCGGGCAGGATCTGGAGAGAGAGAGAGAGAGAGATTGAGAGGAGATTGGCACTTACACGGATTATCTGTGCAGGGAGGGGGGGACGGAGGTAGGGAGAGAAGGGGGGGGAGGGAGAGACGGAGGAATGCTGGCTGGGGTGGCCCATGGGGCGGCGTTCGCATCCTCGGGCACGGTTGCTTTTGGTGGGCCTGACCGGGCAGGAGGAAGCCTCCCGCGACGGAGCAGCCCAACACCGACCACTGTGCCTCCAGGCGGGCAAGTCCATGGCCACCCCTGGTGCCTGGAAAGCCGGCGATGGAGGGGACAGCGACCGTCAGGGGTGGGATGGGCCGGCAGGGAGTCCGCGTCTCCACTGCCGGGGCTTCGCCCTGTCCTCCAGCCCCCGCACGCAGAACAGCGTACGCCAAGCACCACTGCAGACAGGCAGACAGGGAGGGGGAGGGAAGACCCTTCCCGGGAAACTACAAGGAACTCCCAGCCCAGTCCAACCTGGCCGGCGTCGCATCCCGTTACCGCAGCGTCCCCGCTGGAGACAAGGCCCTGCGGCCAGAGGGAGGGAGGGAGCGAGGGAAGACGTCGTCGCAGCCGTCGTCCAGGACTCCCCCCGGCCTCGTCTCGTCGAGGGGCGAGCAGAAAAAGGGAGGAGGAGGAGGAGGAGGAGGAGGAGAAAATCCCAGCCCACCACACCCCGAGGGAGGGAGGGAGGGAAAGAGAGAAGGAGAGACAGAGAGAGACAGCGGCGGAGCTCGGAGGCGAAACCCAGTGGACAACCTCCACGGCTCGGCCAGAAGAGGCGACGCCACGGCGCTGACGACGACGACGACGACGACGACGGCGACGACGACAACGACGACGACGACAGGACGACGACGACGGACCGACCGACCGACCGACCGACCGATCTGAGGCTATCTTAGGCCAACTTAGGCAATCGTAAGCAATATTTGGCAATCTTAGGCTATCTGGGCTGCAAGAGTTTCGAGGATTCACATGGTTGACGTCCCAGAAATGACCTTCGCGCCCTCGGCCAACCGACGCGCTGCTTGGGGGGCATCTTGGGCGCTCCGCTTTCCCACCAAACCCTCCGACAAGACCCAGGGGAGGAAGTAGGGAGAGATGTCGAGTTTCCAACGGGATCGCTGTACGCTGCCTCTCTTACTCCCACCCACCCTCCCATCATATAAGTAGCACCCGAGACTCAGCACAGCTCCTCTCTCCCTGTCCTCCTCCTCCTCCTCCTCCGCCTGGTCCCCCTCCACCTACTCTTGTTCCTCCTCTTCGTGTTCTTCCTCGTCCTCATCTCTCGTCCTTTCCCCATCCCTTACCGCTTCTCCCGTTCCGCCTAGACCTGCTGCTCCTGCGGCCCGAGCTTGTTTTTCGAATCCTCATGTTCTTCCTGCGTATGATCCTCCCGCTTCTCCCCCTCCCGTTCTCATCTTCCTCCTCCTTCTCCTCATATTCCTCCTCTCCCTCCTCCTCCTACACCTCCTCCTTATCCACCCCCTGAGTGGCCTTCTCCGTCAGGGCTAAATTTGGGCCGTCGGATTCGAATCAGGACCACTTTCGGGTCACATCACGGGCCATACTGGGGTCACATTGGGGCGATGGGATCGTGCTGGTGTCATCCTCGTCTTGGGTTTACTTTGGGGTCGCCTTGGGGTGATCCGGGTGCCTTAATTGGGGTCATTGCCTCGTGTCGGCGCCGTCTTGTGGTTGTTCGGGGGTCGTCATGAGGCCGAGGCGCCATCTGGGCAATGTTGATGTTGATGCCGCAGGGCCCCCAGATGGTCACGGAATCATCTCGGGATCGCCCTGGGGGCCACGCTTCGTGGCCACGGCTCCCCCGCTATCCTGATTCGCTGGCCCAGCCCCCGCGGTCTGGATCCAAATGGCAGTGGGCCATCTGCTACATCTGCTACAGGGTGGTGAGTGACTCCAGGGAACTGGGCCCAGGATAGGGTTTAGGCGCCACCAAGCCGTATTACCTCAAGTCCTCCTCCTCCTCCTCCTCCTGCTCCTCCTCCTCCTCCTCCTGCTCCTCCTCCCCCTCCTCCTCCTCCTCCTCTTCTCCTCTTCTCCTCTTCTCCTCTTCTCCTCTTCTCCTCTTCTCCTCCTCCTCCTCCTCCCTCCTCCTCCTCCTCCTCCTCCTCCTCCTCCTCCTCCTCCTCCTCCTCCTCCTCCTCCTCCTCCTCCCCCCCCCCCTCGAAGCTCGAGGCTCGAGGTCCTCCTCCTCGCCCTCTTTGCCCTGCCGCGGGCGATTCCAGACCAGGGCCAATTTGACGGCCACTTCCCACCGTGCTGGCTGGGACGCTCGGAGAACACACACGCGTCGGCGGCGACGTGCGGCCCGGAGCGTCGAGCGGCAGAAGCCGGGGCGCGGCTGAGCCAACTGCGCACCGAGCCTGGTGGACAGGTCAGAGGGCGGGCACGCCCAGAAGCCACGGCCATCGATCCTCGAGCCTGCGTTTCTTCCTTCTCCTTCTCCTTCTCCGTCCCCACCCAAGGGGGAGCGCGGGGGAAGAGGGCCGCGCGGCCGCGGCCTTCCAGAGGAGGGCATCGAACAAGAGGTCGATGAGGTCTTTGGCCTGCGCGGCGAGGGCGGGCACTGGAGGCAGCATGGAGGTGGAGGGCGGGTCGGGGACCCCGGGCTTTCTCGGACTGGCCTGGCCAGTCGGAGTCCCAGCTCCGTGCGTAGAGAACTGGTCCACACTGCCCCCCCGCCCTTGAGTCCCACCAGCCCCCCTTGAGAGTTTCCTCTTCCACCCCTCCTTCTTCCCCTTCGGGGATTGGTTTACCGCTCACCCACCCCCTCCCCTGGACCTGGACTGGGGGTTCCGCGAGGTGTCGGAGCGTCCACACTGCCCCCCCCCTTGAGTTTGCCTTTGCGCTGTCTTCATGTCTTTGGCTTCCTCCGCTGATGGCTTCCTCTGCTCGGGAGCTGGGCGAGGGCTGCTAAAACCGTGGCTGCTAAAACGGCCCTCCCGGAAGGAAAAGACAACTTCCCGGAATGAGGCGCGGCACGCGAAACAGTCAACGGGCTTCTTCCCGGAAGGACGAAGGCAACTTCCTGGATGTCGATTTTAGCAGCCACAGATTGAGCAGCCCTTGCCCGGCTTCCGATCTGCTATTCCCAGAGGGGCCGGATGCGATTTGAGGAGGATCGTACAGGCTTCTTGCAACACTGCATGGGAAACCCTATAGAGGTGCCGCAATAAAACACAACAAAAACTGTAGCATCTCACTAGTGTCGTGTGGGATTCGTACAGGATACCAAGAAGGTCCCGCAATAATCGTATAGGAGTCGTATCGCATTCCGAAAATCTCGTAATACTCGTAGAAGATGCCGATCGGATTTCATAGGAACCGCATAGGCATCCGATCGGATATCATAGAAGTCGCATGGAACTCTACAAGACTTCATAGGCATCGTGACGGGATGCAGTGGGATCCCTTTGCGGACACATTGGCACTGTAGCGGATCCCAATCGGACCGGATGGGGATCGAAAAAGCGAGCCGAGTTACATAATATCGTGGCAATCGAAAAGGGCTCCTCTACAATCCCATAAGAATCGTACAGGGTCTCATGGAGTACCCTGCAATCCCCATAAGACTCGTATGGGATATCGTCAGAACCCTACAACGCATCTATAGGATCTTCTGGAACATCGAGCCCGATCCCTACAAGTCGAACCAGGTCTTCACCACCGTATGAAAGCAGATCTCGTAAGAGTCGTAAATCGGGTCCTATACCTTATATATATATATATATATATAAGACTATACCGGATTCCTGTAGGATCCCCGCGGGAGCTGACAGGTATCAGATTGCATTCCTGTTGGATCACAGAGGGGTCGGTAACATAAGACTGGGTAGAGCAGGAGCGCAGCAGGGTAGATGATAGGGAAGAGCTGAGTAGAATGGCGTAGACTGGATTGGAGCCGAGTAGAACACAGCAGAGTAGGATAGAAAACAGTGGAACAGAAAAAGGTAGGAGTAAAGAGAGTAGAGTCGAGTGGGAATAGGAATAGAGCCGGGCAGAAAAGAATCGAGTAGGGCAGGATACCGTAAAGCAAAGCTGGGTTAGGGTAGGAGTAGGGTAAAGTAAGGTCGGGCCGGGCAGCGTAGACCGTACTGATGCAAGCAGGACTGGACAAGGTTGGACTCTACTCCACTCAACCTTACTCTACTCTACTCTAGTCTGCTCTCCTCCTACTCTACTTTCCTTCATGTACTCTACTCTGCTCTATCCTCCGCTCCGCTTGACCACTTGAGTGTAGACGCGACGACGACACTCTACACTGCACTTTACAGCGCACTTTACGCACGCTCCACTTTGACCGTTCTGCAGTGTTCTACTCTCTACTCGACGACGATAACGACGGTGACCCACTCCTCGTCTTTCACCTCCTCCTCTTCACCTGTGTCCTTCGACGCAGACGACTGTTGACCCACTCTAACTACCCCTGCGCTTATGACTAGCATCACTCTTCTTTGACGCAGACAACATGTGGATCACAGGCCGCCTTGTGCCGGGCAGGATGATGCGTGGGTTATCGGTCTTCGTCGAGCATGGAAAAAGGCCGAGAAGGAGAGAAGACAACAGTCTCGCCTCCCTCAATGTCCAGCGAAAACGACGGGTGACCTGCCCCTCCTTCTCTCCGAAGAAAACAACTGGTGACCCACCAGTCAACTTTCTCCTCTTTCTTGGGCAAGTGGGTTGCAACTCGTAGTACGCACAAGTGGGAACATTCGTACAACAAAAACCTCCCCTCTTGCCTGGGCCGTCGTGGCAGTGGTTGGGGTAGTAGTGGTGGTAGCGGTCGTGGTAGAAAAAGTAGTGGTAGTCGTATAAATGAGAATTGTAATAATGGAAGTAGTCGTAGTCGTAGTCGTAGTAGTCGTAGCACTACTAAAGTCGTAGTTAGTAGTAGTAGTAGTAGTAGTAGTAGTAGTAGTAGTAGTAGTAGTAGTAGTAGTAGTAGTAGTAGTAGTAGTAGTAGTATTAGTAGTAGTAGTAGTAGTAGCAGTAGTAGTAGTCGTACTAGTCGCAGCAGGACTAAAGTAGTCGTAGTAGTCGTAATAGTAATTAAAATTGTAGTAGTAGTACTAGTAGTAGTAGTAGTAGTAGTAGTAGTAGTAGTAGTAGTAGGAGTAGTACTAGCAGTAGTAGTAGTAGCAGTAGTACTACTACTACTAGTAGTAGTGGTACAAGTCATAGTCATAACAATAATCTGGGCAGTAGCAGTAGTAGTGGTAGTAGTAGTAGTAGTAGTAGTAGTAGTAGTAGTAGTAGTAGTAGTAGTAGTAGTATGAGTAATAATAGTAGTAGTACTAGAAATAGCAGTAGTAGTAGTCGTAATATTTCAAAATATTCAAAGTCGTCACAGTCGAAGTGGTAGTAGTACTCGTAATAGAATAGTAGTTGTAGCCATAGAGTAGTAGTAGTAGTAGTAGTAGTAGTAGTAGTAATAGTCGTCGTCGTAGTCCTCGTAGTAGTAAAATTAGCAGTGGTAGTAGCACCAGTAGTAGCAAACTGCCAGACGAAAAATCATAGTAGTAGTCGCAGTAGAAGTCGTAGCAGTAATCGTAGCAGTAGTAGTAGTAGTAGTAGTAGTAGTAGTAGTAGTAGTAGTCGTAGTCGTGGTAGTTATAGCAATTATGGTGGTAGTAGTCGTAAGAAAAAAAAATAAATCCTTAGTAGCAGTAGTAGTAGTAGTAGTCGGAGTAGTAGTAGTAGTAGTAGTAGTAGTAGTAGTAGTAGTCGTAGTAGTAGTGGTAGACACTGCAGTAATAGTAGTAATAATAATAGTAGATCAGTACAATAAATATTAGTATACGTAGAAACGATAGAAGTAGCATTAGGAGTAGTAGTAGCAGAAGCAGTAGTAGTAGTAGTAGTAGCAGTAGTAATAAGAGCAATAGTAGTAGTAGTAGTAGTAGTAGTAGTAGTAGTAGTAGTAGTAGTCGTAGTAGTAGTCGTAGTAGTAGTACTAGTAATAGTAGTGGTAGTAGAAGTCGTAGTAGTAGTAGTAGTGGTAGTGGTAGTGGTAGTGGTAGTAGTAGTAGTAGTAGTAGTAGTAGTAGTAGTAGTAGTAGTAGTAGTAGTAGTAGTATTAGTCTTAGTAGTAGTCGTAGTAGTAAGTGGTGGAAATAGTAGTAGTGATAAAAGTATGAGGAGTAGAATAGGAATAGGACCGCTTGCGTCATCATCGTTTCCAGCAAGCCCCGTTCTCGTTCCACGCTCCTCGTCGTCCCGTCCTTCGCAGCCACGCGCCGCGGCTCGAAAGTCGTGACATTGCCGCGCGAAGCGGCCTGGCTTGGTGTGATGGCCCACAAGCTCATCGTCGTCGTCGTTGTCATCGCATCGTCGTCGCCACCGGCACCATCGCTACACTACTTTTACTTCTACTACGAAGGCGACGCGATTGCTACTGGAACCATCAATATTCGGACAATTTTAACTCCTACCACTACTATTAAGACTATTACGACTACGAATGCTTCTTGGACTACTAGTGGTACTACGACAACAACAACAACAACTACTACTACTACTACTACTACTACTACCACCACTACTAGTACGACTACGAATATAGTGCCTCGCTTCCTACTGCGACTGCTACTGCTGCTACAACTACGACTACTAAGACGACAACTACTATTTCTACTACTACTATGCTGCTACCACGGCTACTCATGCGATGCCACCATGAAAACTATGATTTTGCTACAACGACTGCTGCTACTACTACGACTACTACGATTACTACTACCATTATTTCTAAGACTACTACTACTACTACTACTACTACTACTACTTCTTCTACTACTACGACTACTACTACTGCTACTGCTACTACTACTACTACTACTACTACTACTACTACTACTACTACTACTACTACTACTACTACTACTTCTGCTGCTACAACTACAGCTGCAGCTACCACATATACGATTGCCACTACTACTGATACTACACTACCACTACAATTGATTATAGTGATTAGATACCGTTCCATTATCGTCCCGTCCAGTCCAGATCCGACCACTCCAGCCCAATCTTGTCCATCCACGCCAGCCCAGCCCACATCATCTCAGTCTGGTGATCTATGTGAAGTCTGTGCTGGCAAATTTTTACAGCTTTGCCCTCGCCCCTAGCAATATCTGGAATGGAAATTCCCGAACGTTGTGGCGACGTCTGCATGTGGATCTTTCTTGCTATTTGTGAAACTGGGCAGCTCAAAGATAAACCAACCAGCAGTGAAAGAGAGGAGGACCAGTCGCGAAGAGAAAGCCGATCGGACATGCGCCTTGGGTTCGACTCTGATACTCTATGCTACTTCGCCTTCCTCTTCTAGGGCCTCTGCAAAGTGCATCCCGCCAGCCCTCCGGGCGTGAATGGTTTGGAGCGTTCCATCTTCCACCCCTCCCTTCTTCCCCTCCGGGGAAGGGTTTCCCCCTAATTACCCCTACCCCACTCCGTAACGAATCCCCCTTTGTCTAATGCTTGTCTTTCTTTACGCAGTGACCATTCGACGAATTGACTTGTTTCGCGTTACTTCGATTTTCGTGTCGCC